TTGAATTCTGACTGAAATTTAATTGCAAGCCACAACTTAATAACTTGTTCAACATAACATCTGTACTCTAAAGGACATTTTATTTATCATCGGCTTACATAACAGCGTATACATTCAAAACAAAATTCTGAACTTCAGCTTATAAAACCAAAACATTTTCTGTGTTGCCAATCCAAGAATGCTAACATCAAAATTCAATTATTGATACAAAAAAATAAAAATATTATATGGTTTACGTAACACTTTCTTTAAATTATGGTATACAAACCAGTATGGAGTTTTCTTTTAAATTCATTTTAAAGCTTCTAAGTGTAGACTGTTGCATAAAAATTGGCAAGGCCTTAAATATACATTCTTTGCGCACCAGAAATTACTTTGCTGATAGTAGTTCTGATTTGGCGTCTATACTAAGCGAGCTTTTACTCATCGCGGTTAAGCTTGAAATTTTACAGTGATGAATACCTTCAAGATCTACATTTCGTAACTATCCAATATTTATGACTGGATAGTTATAAAGGTGCAAAATTTATGATTGGATAATTTTAGTTAAACTTGAAATTTCACAGTGATCCAATATATCCAATATTTATGTAGTTATGATTCAATATATATGACTAGATAATTTTAGTTATACAATATTAATTATAAACACTAGATATAGTAATATAAACACTATATATAGTAATATAAACACTAGATATAGTAATAAACACTAGATATAGTAATATATCTAGTGTTTATGATTAGATAGTTTAGTTAAGCTTGAAATTCACAATGATGAGTAGTTAATTACTTCGTAACTATCCAATGTTTTTTTCAAAAATGAAAACACTCAATTTAGGATTATCGAACAGTCCGATTACTATTTTCAATGCGTCTGAGGAAACTCATTCTGTGCTGAAAAATTAGATTTGGGAGAATAATATATTTAAAAAAAAAAAAAAAAAGAAAGAAAAGAGAGGCGAAAATATTTGAGACACTTTTTAGAAATTCTTGTCAGAAAAACACCTTCAATTTATAATTTAAGTCAAAGAGGATTGAAGCATACATAACTTGGTAAATTGACTGAATTAAGACGTTATATATATTCGCATGTCCTTCTGAAAACTTTGTAAGCACAACCTAGCATTTATAAGCTATTACTAAGTTAACTTTTTACTTGCTATTCCTCAGCTTAACATTAAAAGAAAATGCATTTATTTAGTTATACCTGGAAGTATGGTATTGACACACTTTCTTTTAAAATGCCTTCTATATATGTGACGCCGTTTTTAAGCCCCTTTTCTGTTTTGTAAAATAACTTCAAAAATTTAGAGTTATCTTATTGTGAAGCTTTTTTATATTCCCGTTGCAGTAATTTACCCTATTTACCATTGTCTTACATTAACAGTGAGTTTAGCATTTAGTAAAATCTAATGGGAAAAGAGTTTCTGGATAAACTTATTATGGAAAGCAAGTGAGAGGAAGCTGTCTAAGAGGAAAGACATCTTGTGGAGGACTTTTTTAATTACTCCTATTCACGTTGCATGTAGGTTAAACCTCAGAAGCTCCTATGTAGCTAGACCGCTCAACGGGATTTGAACTCAGCTGCTGGAGGACTGAAAAAGCTTTTGGTACTTTTCCGTTTTGCCGGCGCAGGCGATAAAGTCGTCAATAATTGTATAACTGACGCAAACGGAATATCTTCGCTGGTAACCTTGTTCAGATTGATTGTTTCTTTCAATACTGGCATACAATTGCATAGAATTTATACCAGATAGTTCAGTTTTATACCCTAAGGCCATTCGCGGTAATTAAGTCAATTAGAATGCAATCACACCGCTCATGATGACTTGGGGTCACGTGATATGAACAGGCGAATCAGGATGTTGAAACATGAAAGCATAGTAAATTTTTAAATTAATGTTTTTTTAACAAATTATTGTCTTTATTTATTGGCTTTTTACAAAATTTTAAACGATATTATAATGTTTATGCCTTCAAAATAAAAAAAATCTTTAAACTAACATTTGTTATGTGTATACTGTATGTTGTCGCCAGTAAAGTCTGCTTGGCGAGATTTGCGCCGGCGAAACGGAAAAGTATCAAGCTTTTCTAAATTATGGAAGAATAGCAAGGGCGTTTAAGATCTTTAATATTATAGAACAATATGCGCCAAACTATTCTACACAGAAAAGATACATGCGCCAACGTTGTTTACTGGTCTGGTTTAGTTTATTATGGCACTGCCTAAGGGAAGGGATACATTCGTGGAGGACTTTCTAAGGGAAACTGACTCATGCACACGTTACACATAGGGGAAAACAAAGAAAACGCCCATGCAATCAACCCGTTTGCGGGGAATGGAAAGCAAGTCGGAACTACCAGTGTTCAGCGATTTTACTGCTCGGCCGTTGGTGGGCAACGATTGCTTATTAGCAGCCGTTAAATTAAATGTGCTACTCTTATATATTAGAACAATGTTTTCAAAGCTAATATCACCTATAAAGATCTGTTAAAGCGTGTTGTTCTATTTCGTTCTTTATTTATTGAAATAACTAACCTAAGTGATTATAGTCTTCAGTCATCTTCTTATATTTCTTGTTTTTAGGAATATTTTGTCACGGATGAAATGAGCTGATTACAAAAGTATGTTTTTTCGCTGGGAGTTTCATGGTGAATGTAATCTGTCTACAGAAAATTGGCTCGTACTGTTTTTTAAGGGAAAAGGTTCGTGATTTTAAGATAAAAAATGAAATTAAAATGAGAATGATTTTAAGATGAAAAGAATTTAAGATGAAAATGATTTTAATATGAAAAGATTTTAAGGGAAATGTAATAAAAAATTGAAACTTTTAATTTAAAGTGTGTAGTGATTTACAACAGTGCAGTGAACTATTGCTTTCCTAGATACAATCCTCACATATATAAAAGGCATAAATATATCAAGGTAGATTAGTAATTTAAAGATATGCTTACCCGATTGATGAGTCCATTTCCTGTTTACTTTTGAGGAACAGTTCGGTATGCCCAATCTATGTCTGTAAACCAAAAAGACCTACTTAGTGAGGGCACTTCAGTCAGATAGGGCGGTGGTTTTCCAGCCTCCAGTAAGAGTACAGTCACGCACGGTACTTCTGACAGCCGGCTAGCTAGCACTGATCCTGCAGATCCAGCCCCCACTGTAACCACATAAACAAATTGACATTTAAATTTCAGTTAATACGAATTTGGAAATTTTATTCTTCTTTAGGTACAGACTCCAGAAGTATACTATAATGGTTGTAGCTTTGAGATTTTTTTCAAAGCAATAAAGAATACCTTTGACAATTCCCGTTTAGGTGCGAATATTTCTCTTGAAGCATGTTTTTAAAATTTAAAACAAAATAATAGTTGTGAGATGACAAAAGCTTTCTCACGTTGCATTCAATAATTTTCATGTAGGAATCGAAACATAAAGAATAAGTAATTTATTTAAAATCTGAGTCTATTATACATACCTATGACGTAATCATACTCAGTACTTATTGTTGTAGCTGTGTCAGGTGTATGCTTTTGTTTCATAAGACTTAACAGCAACATGGAAAGAAGTGTAGAGTTGGCAAAAGGGGTCGGATATGATCTCTCTGCTGTGAGATCCATTTTACCTAGAGAAAAATAATGTGATGCGATTAAAAAAATGCGTTACATGACATGAAACTAATTAAACTTAGAGCTGAGCAACTGAAAAGAAATTTTTCATTTAAATAAAAGCTAAAAATGTATCGTGTTTAGCAGAAGGCAAATTCATTATAATATCGTTGCTGATGACAAAATTATGCTACTTTGAACGTGAGAAAACTTATATCTGAAACTGTAAAAAGTTGACCTTTTGTATGATCAGTCTTCGTCTCATAGGCCAAATTACTTTCTCTTTTTCCTAGGAAATAACAAATTCGTAAATTTTATTAATTTATTTCGGAAAACCTTTTTCTCAACCTCATACGCAATATATTAGTTTAATGTGAATTTCAAGTATGACTTATAATTTAATTACTTCACAAATATAAATGCGAAAAGGATAAAATTAGCATATTAATTATGAAAAAAATTATGTAACTGAATGAGAATAAAAGACGAATAGATAAATAAATGCCTTAAGAACAGTTTTCAGATAAGATAATGTAAGCCAACTTCAACAGTGCATGCAAAAAATTTAAAAATTAAATAACCCATTTGCGAAGTAAAAGGAAATTTGTTTTAAAATAAAAATCCTTAACTTAATTTCTTTAAATAATCAAAAAAGGAAGTCAATGCCCATTTCCTCTCTATTTTTATAATTTGCTCTCTTTTTTTTATCACAAAGGAAACTATCAGACTTCCGACGACAATCGTCACGAAACTTTCAGGGGTTCTCAAATATTTGAAAAAATCGACAGTTGCAAATTATGGCATCTCGCAGTCGTCTCTTAAACCCCCCAGACAGCATATAAATTTGCATGGGTTTATTTGCATTCATAGACTGGCAAACGTAATTTATCTATGAGGGTTAAAGCTTACGCAAAATAATCAGTGGGAGACTACTAATTTTAGCGCTAACTGTAGTGCTGTTTTATCAGTGCTGGCTACTTCATATTCTGTCAATTACGAACTATAAGAAAAGAAGGGAAGAAACATCCAACCACATTCTGTTTCGTTTACCCTCTTCCTGGTTTCTTCATAGTGGCTTTCCTTTTTCTTTTTTCAGCTTTTATTCTCAACTTTTAGTCTTTCCTTACTTACTGACTATTCGCATCCCACAAATGCAGGAAGCATCTTTTGATAGTCACTGATTTACATTCTTCGAGTAGCCCATAACAATAAATATTATGTTTCACGTTTTGGTTCACATTTTGACTAAAGTGAAATACATAGTTGTTCTAAACGTTTTACTTAATTGTCCAAAGTCAAATGTTATGTAGTAATTAGTTAACTAAAGTCAAGTGTTATGCACTAATTAGTTAAATAATAAACTAATATTCACGATTTGGAAAAGAAAAATTAAGAAATCCGTAGATAATCTTACCTTATAAAGCCAAATGTAAACATATACGTCTCGGTAACCAACACTTCCACTTTATAACTTTCAATGACATGGTTCTTCGCATGAATGCCTTCGTTGCAAGGAAGCGAATTTCTGATGAATGCGAGTAGTTAATCTCAGTTTTGACCCATTATTTTGCCAATAGAGTGTAAGTAAAATTCAACGCCCCTTTTTTTAATTTATTTTCATTATTTTAACCCTATTATTTCTAAATATGAGCATAGATAATATTACAAACTTTAATCAGGAACATATATGAACTAAAGAAAAATAAAATACTATAACAATACCTTGTGATAAGATATTTTCACTAACTATTTTGCTACTTAATTTTTTTTTTAAATATCATAAAATTCGTTTATAATTCATACGAATAATATATAATAAATTCGTAAATTTATCATATAATTATTCGTATATATTAATATAACGTGTGCATCAAAATTAATTTATAATATAATAAAAAGTAATAATTTATGTATGCTTAAGTATGATAAAAGCTGGTACTGGCGATCATAGCCCATGAATGCATATGCAGTTTTCAACACTAGTCACTAGTGTTTTCATGTATTTCATTGATCATTTTTTATATTTAATATTTGGGTGATCTATGAATAGGATTTCAAAATTTTAAGTCAAGTTCTAGCTGTTGTGTTAAGAGTAGCATGCGTGTTAACTGCATTTATTCAATAATATATTTTTATTTCAAATGCTACTTGATTAATTTTAAAATTATTTTTATAATAATTTATATAATATATATAATATAGTGTAAAGAAAACTAAGTCAAAATGTTAGAAGCTGAGACATAAATGTCTCTTCATAATTGAAAGAACTGTGAAATTGAAAGAATTGTGTTTACGAAATGGCAAGATATCATTCTTTATATTCTCTGCTTTTTACAGTTCCATACAAAAATATAATATAAAGTTCTAAAGATAAGTTTTACTCATTAGTATATACACTCATGTCCATAAATTAAGGATAATGCAAAATCAGGCAAAGGAAGAGTTAGAAGCAAAACAAATTTGACTTATTTGTAAAGCTTATTTATTAAACAAAAGGTAAAGAGCAAAAAAAGATGCTATATGTTTGATATTATTAAAAAAATTAGCGACTTTTTCTCCCTAGAGCAAAGTACAAAAAAAAACCTATTTACAAAAAACCAATATTACATGGCTGGTATGATTGTTAATAGATTGTATGTCTCCCAGACGATGCAATACAGTCCGTACAACGCCTAGGCATGCTGAGTATCAAATTATCGATCTGATCTTGGGGGATATTACACCACTCAAAAAGCAATGCTCTCCGAACTTCCAGTAGACATGTAGGAGGAGGTTGACGGGCTGCAACTCATCGGCCAAGCATGTCCCAAGCGTGCTCTACTGGATTCAAGTCCGGTGAGAATGCTGGCCAGTCCATACGGGTGATATCCTCCGATTGAAGGCATTCGCTTACGATATTTGCACGGTGAGGACGGGCGTTGTCATCCATAAACACAAATTGTGCGCACATGGCGCCCGCCCCTAAACAAACGTACATGTTTTTCCAGAATGACGTCCGGATAGATTTGGCTTATCATGGTTCCATTTTGAACATGAAGGTCAGTTCTGGAACCCAGAATAATTCCACCCCAAACGAGCACTCCTGCACCACCGTAACGGTGTCGTTCAATGATGTTTTCTTGGTAGTAACAGGTACCTGGAGCTCTTCATATGAAAGTCCGGCGAGAATCAGACTGCAAGCTAAACGTGGACTCGTCGGAAAATATCACACAAGCCCACTGTTGCGGTGTCCACAATGCATACTCTCTACTCCAGGCTAACCGCAGGTGACAGTGAGTTGCAGTAAGTGGAACGCATCTGACAGGTCTACGAGCATATAAACCAATCTGCCCTAAGCGTCTGTACACGGTCTGCCTTGAAATTGTCGTACCAGTGGCTGAAGAGAGCTGACGAGACCATAGACCTGTTATATACTAGACGGATCATCGCCATTCAAAACCGGGTGAAAAAGTGGCACAGGAATGAGCTGCAGGAGTTTGGGCATGAAATGGAACTGAAAAATCCAGACTTTGGCGTACTATCGCCATGGCTGGCGATTTTTTTTTCTCTCTTTTCTCTCAGTTCGAAATGCGAACTTGGAAAGACGTCATTTCGCAAAGCTGCCGTGAATTTGCAGAAGAGGTTAGATCGATAAACACCAGCCAAAATTAATAATTTCCCTAAAATTGAACACTTTATTTTAAAATTTAACTTTATTTAAATTTTAATTTTAAATTTAACTAATTTTCATGCTTGTAGAATAATATTTTGCAATATGTCCATCGGCGTCTACCGAATTTAAATAAAATTAAAAAAAACGAGAAAAAACTAAATAATAAACTAATAACTAATAATAAATAATAAACTAATAGCAAACTAAAAAATAATAGTAAAATAAATAAATAAAAAAGAAGGCTTTTAGTACTCAGGACAGAATAAAAAATAAAAAAAAAAAAAAATAGATAACATAAGAAGAATGAGTGAAAACAGAAAATAGTACAAAAGGAAAGTTAATATTAATACGAAAAGGAAATTTAATGTTAATACGAAAAGGAAATTTAACGTTAACACGTGTATTACAGAGAACTACAGAGTAGGCAAATCAACGTGAGAAAGGCATTAAATTAAATGAACTAAAAATGAATGTCAATATAACAGATACAAGTTAAAAGGAAGAGAGAGAGTGGTAAATTAAATTATGAAACAAAAAAGTGATAAATTAAGACTTCCTTTTACTAGCAAAATATAAGTATATTCCTTTTACTAGCAATATATATATATATATATATATTGCTAGTAAAAGGAATATATATATAATATTTGCTAGCACAATGTAGTCGCACTGATTTTAAATAATTTTAGAAGATAAAATTTAAATAATGTTCATTATTTTTAAAAAGAAACTTAAAATGATTAAAGTTTTGAAATTTAACTGCTATATAATGACTATTATCTTAATACTTAACAAATTCTTAATATTTGAAATAAATGACAGAAACATGATATAAGAAAGAAAATACGTGATTGAAGGTAAACAAATTTGTTATATTTGGATGCAAGAAAAGGATATAAATAAAGTCATTCATGTCCCCCCCCCAAAAAAAAACATAATTTTATGCAGTTCTTACACAGTGTTACATCAACATTACCAAGTATTAAATACATACATTACTACTTCGCACATGTCCGCATGAGCAAACGCAAAGAATATATAAACAAACGCATTCAAAGCAGTCTGTTGGCGTATAAAAAAATGTCGCCAAAGCAGAATACTAGACTAATTAAAAATTATATTGTATTACTAAAATTTTAACATTTTTTTCAGAAAACAGTTATTAGAACATACATATATATTAAGATACTTTTATTTAAATGTTATTTCAAGTATGCATATATTATATAAAATTAGAAAATCTATTTTTTATTAGAAAAAGGTAACTAGAGTGGATAAAAAAACCTCTACATTTTATAAATTAGGTTTTAAAACATTAGAAAAGCTCAGTTGTGAAATGTTACTCCTCCATCTT